CAGTTTTTTTCCCCTAAAAAAAAAAAATCAAGATTTCTATGGGCATGGCATCATACTGTGTGCAGCATTAATAATACGATCTCATTATTTTTGTACAAGGTATTTATAAAAGAGTAACACATTTTTAAAAATCCTTTGACTTCAATGTCATCATCATCTTTCTTGTACCTGTTCTCCATTTTTTAACCTAATGTCTAAAAGATAAGTTTCCTTTTCCTTGTTATTTATACAAGTCTTTCAAAGGAGCCCCAGTAGAGAAGAATACAACTGAGCGCATTGAGATCATCTTTTCTAAAGCAACACTCAGATATGCTTAGGTGGCAAAGTTTATGGGGGCAGAAGGGAGACAAACTGCTCTCTCTTTTCCTAGGCACGTTTAAAGTTGAATTCTAGCCCCCAGATTGCTGGGCATTTGCAGATTACTCCAAAGCCTTGTCTGTCTTCCTGCCCAATCTTTCCTTTTACTCCCTTTTCCTGTTTCCAAACTTCCTTCCATTTCTGCCTTGACCTCCCCTCAGTCATCCCCTCCCTTCATACCTCAGTGGGTGACCTGACCTTGACTCTATTAGAGGAACAATTCAGGATGGAAGGGATGCAGTTACCATTCCACCAACACATTCCCAGCCTCAGTCATTATTCTGAAGACAGATCATCTAAAGGGAAAACTAACAGTGTTAGAAATTATTACTATTATTTTGTTAAAACCTGTGAATCTGAAAGGTCTCGGAGAAAAGCAGCTTGGAAAAAGACAATATACAAATAAAAACAAGAACCCAGAAAATCAGAAAAATCGGGGTTATCTTCCAGAAACAAGAAAAAACTATAACATCTATAGTGTTGATCACTATAAATCATAAGCCACTAATTTCATTACAATCTAGTAACACACAAAGCAAATTTCCCAATCAGCCAAACAACATTAAGTATTATGACACAGCTTCTTGCTGAGTGTGTGTTTTCTTCATTCGATATATGTGAAACACCTACCATGTATTTGCCAGGCACAGGGCTTAACCTTCGCTTTCTTTTAGAGACAAAACCCACACTGCGTTTCTTGAAGGAGGCTGCCTCTTCCAGCTACAGCCCTGCCGTCCATGAGATCAGCAGCAGATATTTGTAAACGGCTGAATAAGTGCTCGGACTGTGAAACATTTTCTCACCTCATAAAGTTACATGAAACACAAGAGGACAGAACCAACTGGCAATCTAGCCTAGGCACGGATTCAATCACTGAGAAGACAAATGCCTTTCTCTACCCAAAACTGCTCCTATGAGAAATGGAATAGCAACATACCAACAATAATAATAAAGTCAAAAAAAAAAAAAAAAACAGGCACAGAAGTATACATTTAAGAAGAAAAAAAGAGTGAAAAGCATCATGTTGAAAAGCATCAGTTATATTCTAATCGTGGGGGAATATTTCAGTCTATTTCCTCAATTTCTAACCTATTTTTCTAACGTACACAGTTGAGATTGAAGCTGAAACCTCTATGCTCATCTTGGAAAGCCACTCACATGTGCCCCAGGCCACCTTTCAAGAAACCCGAAGTACCAGCCACGGCGTACACAGCTTCCTGCAGTCTCCACTGCAGGTCCTCCTTCCATCTCTAGGCCCAACCCGGATGCCATCTGTCTGTGGAATGTTTCCAGGTCCTTCCACTAGGGATCCCCTCCATGACTCTTCCTCCCCAGATTCCTAATACAAAGTATTTGTGCCTTTCATGACACCATCATGTCTGGTTAGATTCCTTGGTATTTATGTTTCTACAGCTGGAACGCAATGTGTTACTTCTTATGGCAGCAACGATGTTACTCGAAACACCATCATCTATGGTAAGTGGGGGATAATGTGTTAAATCTAAATTATTCCCTACTTAATTCTGCTGTGAAACTTTCAATATTCTGTAGCTGCCATATAACTATGGTTTTTGTTTATATTTTCAAGAAAGCTTAGCACAATTGGCCAAGAAAGTGCTTTTCTTTACATTTACATTCAATACTGTCACCTGGAAACAAAAATTTCCAAGGTACCAGCTGCTAATTTGTCGAATATTCCTTTTGTGCATTTGATAAAAGCACTGTCCAAGTTTCTTCAGTATCATCACCATGACAACAAAAATTTATGTCTACTTTTTTGCATATTAGTTGCTCCAGAAAAGTCCAGAATGACAAGAATGTCCGTCAGCTTGCCAACCACGGCTCTAAAGGGATCTCCATTTTCCTCTCACTCTTAAATTCTTTGGTGACAATAAAAAAAGCAGGAAGATTTCTGTTTTCCATACTGCCTTATCCATTAGGAGTTATTTTCAGAGTAGAAATAGCAATATAGCCTATAAAAGTCATCACATTTGGCTAAGGCACTGAAAATAACCCAGGTCTCCTCAGCATGGTTCACAGCGAAGACTATTAATATGATCCTATTGAATAATGTAGCTGTTACCCAGCTTTACACTTGGGATGCTTTCAGGATTTAAACAGCTAAGAACAAGGATCACAAACTAAATTTAAAACACTCCACCGAAAATCACATTAAGCTGAAAACTATAAATTAAACTTGTCTCTAAGCAACAATCTAAATAGTCAAAACTTAGTGAAAACACTCACTTTCAAAAATAGCCTACTGCTTTGGAGTCTCCATTGGCTCGCGACTGCCAAATGTACATATAAAAGTGCCTAAGATGTAAACTAATTCGAAAGGAAATAAATCTCTAAAAGGCCCCCCCCCCAAAAAAAAATTCACTAAAAATGAAAAAAACTAAGTCCTCAGTTGCCATGAATCCAAAAATGCATAAAAGTGTCTTTGATTTTTAATCATTAGATAAGCAGCAGTTATGAGGACAACTATTCTCCAACCTGGCTTCAATTTTAAAATCAGTCTATAAATCACGGCAAGTGATATGGGCGGGAGGACCCTCTGTTGAGTGAAAAGTAAAATGGCCCAGGCTACTGCGTAATAAGCCATCATCAGAATTTCACTAAAAAGTCATCTCTAAAAAAAAAAAAAAAAAAAAAAATTAGATCAAGCATCCTATTGCATCCTCCAAGGATTCTACAGAACAGAAATAAAAAGTGTCACTGTCACATTTTCCCCCCGTGGCCATGATCGTCACCCGGGGCGAAATGATAAAATCCCCGCCTCTCCGCGGCGAAAAGTCAGACTCCTGGAGGTTTTCAGCAGCGGGGAGCGAGCCCTGACCTTGTTAACAAAAACCTGCCTGCGTCCAAGGCTCTGACCGTGGAGCCGCCGACCAGCTCGGCCCGCGCCGCGCCGGGCGGGTCGGGTCGGGTCGGGTCGGGCCCACCCCGCGGGCAGGTGCTCGGCGGCCGGCGGTCGGGGGCTCGGGGGCGCTGCACACACCAGTCCCGGCGCGGGGACCAGCCGCCCCCAGGTCGCCCCTGCAGCCCCAGGTCGCCCCCGCAGGCCCCACGTCGCCTCTCGCAGCCCCCAGGTCGCACCTCGCAGCCACCTTGCAGCCCCCAGGTCGCCTCCCACAGCCCCCAGGTCGCCCCCCACAGCCCCCAGGTCGCCCTCCGCAGCCGCCTTGCAGCCCCCAGGTCGCCCCCTGCAGCTCCCAGGTCGCCCCCCGCAGCCACTTTGCAGCCCCCAGGTCGTCCCCTGCAGCCCCCAGGTCGCCCCTCGCAGCCCCCGGGGTCGCCCCTCGCAGCCCCCAGGTCGCCCTGCGCAGCCGCCTTGCAGCCCCCAGGTCGCCCCCCGCAGCCACTTTGCAGCCCCCAGGTCGTCCCCTGCAGCCCCCAGGTCGCCCCTCGCAGCCCCCGGGGTCGCCCCTCGCAGCCCCCAGGTCGCCCTGCGCAGCCGCCTTGCAGCCCCCAGGTCGCCCCCTGCAGCCCCCAGGTCGCCCCCCGCAGCCACTTTGCAGCCCCCAGGTCGTCCCCTGCAGCCCCCAGGTCGCCCCTCGCAGCCCCCGGGGTCGCCCCTCGCAGCCCCCAGGTCGCCCTGCGCAGCCGCCTTGCAGCCCCCAGGTCGCCCCCTGCAGCCCCCAGGTCGCCCCCCGCAGCCACTTTGCAGCCCCCAGGTCGCCCCCTGCAGCCCCCAGGTCGCCCCTCGCAGCCCCAGGTCGCCCCCTGCAGCCCCCAGGTCGCCCCTCGCAGCCCCAGGTCGCCCCTCGCAGCCCCAGGTCGCCCCCTGCAGCCCCCAGGTCGCCCCTCGCAGCCCCAGGTCGCCCCCTGCAGCCCCCAGGTCGCCCCTCGCAGCCCCAGGTCGCCCCCTGCAGCCCCCAGGTCGCCCCTCGCAGCCCCAGGTCGCCCCCCGCAGCCACCAGGTCGCCCCTCGCAGCCCCAGGTCGCCCCCCGCAGCCACCTTGCAGCCCCCAGGTCGCCCCCTGCAGGCCCCCGCAGCCCCCAGGTCGCCCCCCGCAGCCCCGGGGAGGAAGGCGCCGCTCGCTCCCACCCCCCAGAGGTCTGCGGCGTCTACACAGCCGGTTCCGCGGGGTATGTCACCGAAGGGAGCCGGATTCCTCGGAACCCCGCAGCTCACGTTTTCCGTGCAAAGAATGAAAAGTCGATTTTTCCCGAAAGTTTCCGATGAAGACTCGCAAGTTTTGCAAGCGGCACCCGGCAGCCCCGCTCCCCGGGGCGCTGGCCGGTCGCGCCCCCTCCCCTCCCCTCCCCTCCCCTCCCCTCCCGTCCACCCCGGGCTGCGGGCTCCCCCGGGTCCGCCTCCCGCAGGAAGCTGCGCGCCCCGACGCGGGGGAAGAGCGGCCCCGCGGGTCCCCGGCCCCCCCCCCGGCCCCCCCCGGCCCCCGGCCCCCCCCCGGCCCCCGGCCCCGCCGCCCCCGCCGCCCCCGGACTCCGGCGCAGGCCTCCCCGCCGTGCGGCCCGGGCTCGGGGTCGGGCGGGCTCGGCTCGGGGCGCACACAATGGCCCACCTGCCCGGGCCGCACGGATGCCCCGAGGCGGCGTCACCCCGCGGCCGCCCCCCTGCGCGGCGAGGACCGCCCGCCCCGGCCGCAGGCCCCCGGCTCCCGCCCGGACCCGCGTACCGCCGCCTCCGCCGCGCCGCCCGCCGCGTCCTCCGGGCCGCGGGACAAGCCGGGCTCGCAGCTCGCGCCGGCCGTCGCCATCTTCCCCTGCGCGTCCGCGGCCGAGCTCGCCGCGGCTCCGGCCCGGCCTCCCCGCGGGCGGCGCTCAGCTCCCGGCGTCGGCCCCCAGCTCCGGGCACGCGGCCGCCACCGCCGCCGCCGCCGCCGCCGCCGCCGCCGCGCGCCCGCCCGCCCCGCCCCGCCCCGCCCCGCCCCGGACGAGCCCCGCCCCCCGCCCCGCAGACCGCGCCCCCTCCGGTCCCCTCCCGCGCCCCGCACCCCCGCCCGGGGCTGCCTGCGAGCCGCCGCCCGGGGACGGAGGGAGCGCGGCCCCGGACCAGGTGCACGCGGGGCGCCCTGTGGGACCCGACCGCGCGGATGCCCGGGCGCCCTGTGCGCTCCGAAGGGCCTTCTCGGCCGCCCCCTCCGCCCCGCCCTGGGCGCCCCACGGGGCCGCCCCCTCCGCCCCGCCCCGCCCCGCTCCCCCACGGGCCGCCCCTCGCCCGCCCCGCCACCCCACGGGGCCGCCCCCTCCGCCCCGCCCCGCCCCTGGGCACCCCACGAGCCCGCCCCCCCGCCCGCCCTGGGCACCCCACGAGCCCGCCCCCCCCCCGCCCTGGCCCCCGGGGCCCCCCCGCCCCGCCCCTGCGCACCCCACGGGCACCCTCCGCCCGCCCTGCGCACCCACGGGCCGCCCCTCCGCCCCGCCCCCCCTGGGCACCCCACGAGCCCGCCCCCCCCGCCCCGCCCCTGGGCACCCCACGAGCCCGCCCCCCCGCCCCGCCCCTGGGCACCCCACGGGCCGCCCGCCCCTGCGCACCCCACGGGGCCACCCCCTCCGCCCCGCCCCTGGGCACCCACGAGCCCGCCCCCTCCGCCCCGCCCTGGGCGCCCCACGGGGCCGCCCCCTCCGCCCCGCCCCGCCCCTGGGCACCCCACAAGCCCGCCACCCCCGCCCCGCCCCTGCGCACCCCACGGGGCCGCCCCCTCCGCCCCGCCCCGCCCCTGGGCACCCCACGAGCCCGCCCCCCCCGCCCCGCCCCTGGGCACCCCACGGGGCCGCCCCCTCCGCCCCGCCCCGCCCCGCCCCTGGGCACCCCACGAGCCCGCCCCCCCCGCCCCGCCCCTGGGCACCCCACGGGGCGGCCCCCTCCGCCCCGCCCCTGCTCACCCCACGGGGCCGCCCCCTCCGCCCCGCCCCGCCCCTGGGCACCCCACAAGCCCGCCACCCCCGCCCCGCCCCTGCGCACCCCACGGGGCCGCCCCCTCCGCCCCGCCCCGCCCTGGGCACCCCACGAGCCCGCCCCCCCCGCCCCGCCCCTGGGCACCCCACGGGGCCGCCCCCTCCGCCCCGCCCCGCCCCGCCCCTGGGCACCCCACGAGCCCGCCCCCCCCGCCCCGCCCCTGGGCACCCCACGGGGCGGCCCCCTCCGCCCCGCCCTGCTCACCCACGGGGCCGCCCCCTCCGCCCGCCCCGCCCCTGGGCACCCCACGAGCCGGCGCCCCCCGCCCCGCCCCTGGGCACCCCACAAGGCATCCTCTTCTTCCTTCTTGGAGCTGCTGTTTGCTGTCTTGGGGGGGGCTGCGAGGCCCCCCCCGCCCCGGGGGCGCGGCCCCCTGGTGCGGATGTGGGCTCCGCTCTGGCCCAGCCTTGCGGTGGTGCGTCCTGCTCCGAAGACCACCAACGCCCCAGCAGAACGCGTCCTGCCTCCCTTCATCCCGCGCACCCGCCCCGCTCGGCCTATGCCTTTTCACACAACCTCTTTTGCAAGAAAGGTGGAGCAGGGCCCCTTGTTTGTTTTGTTTTCTGACCCAAGTCTGGGGTGGGTCTGAAGGGCTAACCCAAAAATGTCAAGTGTCATTCGTGTAAAAGGAAGCTTTCTACTTTTAAGAGAATTTAAGAGACCCCCATGAGGTGGGGACAACGCACACACGCATAATTTTTTTTTCCTAAAAATTGATTTTAGGAGAATGACGGGCCTCAAGAAGATATACCATGAGATGAACTAGGCCCAAACTCTTAATTTTTTCTCTTCCCACATCTGATTCCGTTCCTACCCTTTCCTGCCAATTCCCAGGATGTGAAAATCTATCACCTTATCAAGACCATATGGTACAGGCCTCCCCAAATCACCAGAGCCCAAAAATGTGTCGAAAGCACAAAATCAAAGGGAGGCATTCAAGCTGTGTCTCAAAAAAAGTAAATTCAAACCACAACCCGATCCTGGACTTAAAATTCTGCAAGATGAATAACTGGAATGTTCAGTCCAAGGGTTAACAGATCAAAGCTCATTTTTTTTTTAAAAAATGGCAAACTCCTAACAAGAGGTTTTGGCACTTTAATTGCTTCACTTTCCAAAGTAGATCGAAATATGATACAAACCAGGGTAGAGAAAATCTTTGCTGCAAAGGACCTGAAAGGGGTGGATCAATAAATTGTTAAAAGTTGTTTCCCCCGTGGGGTCTACATCAGGCAAGAAGTTTCACCTGGAAACTGGGGTTAAGGGTCACAGGCTTAGAAATCGCCTCCAGGTTATCCTGTATCATTTATTTATTGTCTTGGACTTTATTCTGGTAGCTGCTCCCTGTCTGAGCCCTCCGATTTCCATCTCTGTTCATTAGATCACTTTCTTTTATCAAATATTCTCTCTGATATTGCTCGATATTAGAATAAGTAGACTGTGCAATGAAAAGCATTTGACAGTAAAACTTCAGTGCTGAACTGATGGTAAAAACGCAAGCTTCGAGCCCAAAACCTCCCTTGTTCTTTTCAAAATTCACTTTCGCACATCAAAAGGCAATGAATTTTCTTGACACTGATGCTTGTACTGATGTTCAATTACTACCAGAGAAATTAACCGGCTCCCTTCTCGGAGGGGAAAAGAATAAAATAATAAACCTCACTTAGGTGTTAAGAACTAAGGATATAACATGACAGTATCTCTGAGAAGCAACCCCCATTTATCGTATACACGCAGTTCAATGTTTCAAAAATCATCATTGCAAAGAAAGAGCTGCTATGAGTCTAAATGTAATTAAAGCAGACTTGCGATTCAAACCCTGAGTGATTTGTTCCCTCTTACCACTCCCCCTTTTGCGGGGAGGGGGCGGGAATAAAAAATAAACAGTTGGAAAAAGTCACAGAACAGCACATTTTCTAAGAGCCAAAATCCAAGACCTAGGAAGGAAAATAAAAAGCATTTTGTCCCTACCTGCCACTGCCTACTGCCAAGAATTAATAGAACAGGCCCCCTTGCCGCCCAGCAGTAGCACCCTAGGAGTTAACCCTCTCACCCGTGGCCTGAGAATTCTCTCCTGAGAATTAACCTCTCTTGAGACTGCAAATTAACTCTTTCTAAAACACTTTTTCACACAAAGACAGGCTCTACTATAGAGTCAGACCAAATAGATCTGAAAGAGTGGTGACTTCGAGGCTCTAGAAATTCAATCTTTGGAAGCGTCATTAAATACCTTTAAAAAAAAAAAAAAGACAACCCCAGGGTTAGAGTGAAAACTTCTGAAAAGCAGGGGAAGGTAAAAGATAGGCAGGAAGGGGAAGTACATGCAGGAAAGAAAGAAATCCCTATACCAGAAATGAATCATGATTTTTAATCAGTAAATTTCTTCTGGGGTTAGAATGGAAGGAGAGATCCTGAATGCACTGCAGAGAAAACCGTTAGTTGCATCGTCTTCCCCTTTAATTACATTAAACGTAACGATGTGGCTGACCCACTGACAAATGACTTTATTTTGTCATATTAAACCAATTGTTTTCTGAACCCTGGAAGAGAGGTGCGTGTGCTGAGCCGCCCTCCAAGGTTCTCTTCTAAGACCAATGAAATGGGTCGTTGCAGCTAGGAACGCAGACTGTGGTTGGGGAGCCCAGGGGTTTTCTGATTAAACCGTGGCCTTGGCCTCACCAGCCACATCCTCCAACCCACTAAACCAAAAACCCAGAGAGTTATATATAATGATGCAAAAGGATTCTTCCTTCCGTGTGAAAAGATAAAGGAACATACACATATCCCAAAACAGTTTCTCTGGTAGAGTAAGATAATTCTTTATTTCAGTTAAATGACAACATTTATGTGAACTCCGAAGAGCAAACCATATGTTACCATGTCGTCCTATTGCCAAATGACAAAATTACTGAGTAGCGAATCGTTTCTGACTGCAACCCCAAGGCTATAGTTATACAATTTAAATATCCCAGGCCACGTTTATCCCTGTCCACACCATGGTGACCCACCTAGAAGGCCCCAGATCTTGACACGGGGGAACTCTGACAAAAGAGAGCAGATGAGCTTGAGTGCCCTGTATCTATCGCATGCTCTTGAAACCAAGACGTTGCCAGAAATGAATTTTCATATGACCTAACTACATTCCCTCATAGTCAACTTGTCATTATCTACATGTGTTTGGGCTCTTTGTGGATTTTGCTCAGTAAATTTAATCCTAATCTAGTTAGCCGCTCTTGTCAACAACCTATGGTTTTGGAAGGCCTTCTCCACCAACTGCAGTTGGCGTGTGCCAAGGGAATGCAAGCTAATTTTCCCTAAGCTGAAGTAAAACATAATTAGGAAATTAAATCTGCTAGGTGGGATGCAGGCCAAAGCCAAAACATAAATATATCTTTTACAATCACTCCCAGCCCCTTTTAACACCACGTTTAGCTGGAAACTGCATTTGGTCATTCAATGCTAAAGTGATGTCCAAATAGAAGGTTCCATTAAAGAGTTAAACGTACAGTTAGGAACATTATTCCCCAATCCACTCAGAACAGAAACTTGGGCTAATTGAGAACAATGAAGCAACGTTGATTCAGTCCTGTTGAATGTTTTTAAAATCTTAAGCCATTTCTTGTTGTTTTCAACTCTCATCTGCAGAAGTCATTTACTAAAGTAAGTTCTAGTGCAAAAGATGTTTTAGTGCAAAACCATTATGGAAAAAAAATTTTAACAAAGAAATCTGGCCCACTGCTGCCCCTCATCCACCTGAATTGGAAATGGATGCGAATATTTCCGTTTATTCAGCCTCATTAGCAACCCCACAAGCCTGCAGTATGTAGTTACTAGGCAACCACTAAGGCAGGGGTGTTTATACCATTAGGCATCAATTATAACAAGCTTTATTTTTCTTAGAAAGTTTAA